ATTATGTGATCTAGATAAACTGCAATTGAATGGTCTGTGTGATGAACTTTTTAGCTCGACTATTCGATAAGAATAAGTAGAGCTATTGCAGTCACCCGAGCGTCGGCGTCGGCGTAACCACTTATGTTAAAGTTTTTGTAATAGTTCAAATATTTTCAAAGTCCATTGACATATGGCTTTGAAACTTTGCACACTTGTTCACCATCATGACCCCAACCTGTACACAGGAGGAGGTAACTCTATCAAGCATTTTGACAGAATTATGCCCCTTTTTCGACTTAGAATTTACGTTAAAGTTTTTGTAATAGTTCAAATATTTTCAAAGTCCATTGACATATGGCTTTGAAACTTTGCACACTTGTTCAACATCATGACCCCAACCTGTAAACAGGAGGAGGTAACTCTATCAAGCATTTTGACAGAATTATGCCCCTTTTTCGACTTGGAATTTACGTTAAAGTTTTTGTAATAGTTAAAATATTTTCAAAGTCCATTGACATATGGCTTTGAAACTTTGCACACTTGTTCACCATCATGACCCCAACCTGTACACAGGAGGAGGTAACTCTATCAAGCATTTTGACAGAATTATGCCCCTTTTTTGACTTAGAATTTATGTTAAAGTTTTTGTAATAGTTCAAATATTTTCAAAGTCCATTGACATATGGCTTTGAAACTTTGCACACTTGTTCACCATCATGACCCCAACCTGTAAACAGGAGGAGGTAACTGTATCAAGCATTTTTTTTACTATCAAGCACTTGGAATAGTCGAGCGTTGCTGTCCTACTGACAGCTCTTGTTTGATGTGCAATTCTTTGTGTTGATTATAGATGCTTCCCATTTATTCAAATGACTGTACTAAGGCAAATGCCTTTTTACTTTTTACCTACTTTTACAAAAAAATTCTTTTGTCCATAATTATGATTCAAAAGCTTCATTGTGCAAGAATTTCACTGTATAAGAATTCCTTTTAGACACTTGTGGTTATAACATTCCCAAAACATAGGTATAACAGTCATGTTCTTTTTGACATGTTCAGCCATTTTAAAAAATATGGTTTGAACATGATTTGACAATGACCATTTCTGCAGGGAGGCAGTTGACCAGTGAGTCCACACTGGTAGCACCTTTGCTGTATTACTAAACTAGAGCAGTATTTGTGAGTTACTTTTGTGTCAAATATGCAAAGGCTAGCCCACATCATGGTCTTTATGGACCTTAGTTTAGTTAGTCATAAGATTGCAAATTTTAGCCCTAAAATTGCTATTACGTACCCTAAAATTCCTTATTTTAGCCTTAAAATTTCTGAAATATTACCGTAAAATTCGCCCTAATTTTATGTCGGAAGGTGCTGGACAGCCTGCTAATGGTTTCCTTCACTTATACGGTAGACATTTTATTGTAGAAACAGCATGTGTAAAAGTAAGAATAATTTACATTTATATAAGCATTGGTAAGTTAAACAATTTATGTTGAAAACTCCTATTTTTTTGCCTCAAATGGTCCAAAAACTCCTATATTTCCTGCTAAAATATTCCTATATTCCTCCTTTATTTTGGATAAGACCTGGTTGACAGCCTGTAAATATGAACAAATGCTTTGATAACACTCGAAAGGGATACTGTTTTAGTCCAAATATTCTTGAAATTGGGTTTCAGCCTACAAAATAATGTGAGCAATATAAGGGTCATTATGGCCCCTCTTGTTTGATAATAGAGCGGAAATAGAGGCATCTGTGTCCTATAGACAAATTTTAAATTTACCATGATTCTACTCTTAGACTACCTCTTTACCCCATGCATATCATTAACCCATTGCTTCATGAGCATTTTGTGAAAAATGGCTGTTTTCATTGAAAAGTCTCCCGTTACAAGTTCAAATTGCTATAATACTATAAAAACTGCTTCAACACTAATCAAACTTGGCACAAATGTTGACTGGACCATTGTCCTTGCAACAACATGCTCAGGCTTAAATTTTCTGTTACCATGGCAACGAGGGGACATCTCAAAATTGCCAAAAATCACTATTTTGCGTTGATTTTTTCCATCAAAATTGATTTCAAAGTGCTGCAACTTCTCAATGGATTGAGATAGAGTCAAATGCTTTTCAGCGTTGGTTACACGTTACCTTATGATCAATCTGGGGTCATTTACAGCCTCTCACAAGTCCAAAATTTTCTTGGCGATGAGGGGGACTCCGCCCCCCTTCAAACCCCCCCAAACAGAAGGGGGCACATCCCCCTTCTGGCAACCCCCTGATGTATCTTTTGGTTGGGGGGCCGCGCCGAAAAAAGGGTCACTTTTTTTAACAACATTTCTCAAACAAAAAACAAGTGTTTGGGGCCTAAATAAGGCATTTTTTAGCTCGACTTTTTTTTTTTTTTTTTAAAAAGTAGAGGTATTGTTATAGTCAGGTCGGCGTTGCCGTTGCCGTCTCCGTTGCCGTTGCCGTCCGAAAACTTGTACCTGGATCATTACTTTTTTATTTCTTGGTGTATTGTCTTCATACTTGGCCACAACAACCCTTGGGACAAGACCTTTCAGTAGACCACACTAACCTTGACCTTCATCCATAAATGACCTTGACCTTCAAGGTTAAAAGTCCAATTTTTGCTTGTTCATGCTGTTATTGGCTGTTACTTTGTTATTTTTGAATGGATTGTCTTCAAACTTGAACATTATAATCTTCAAGGATATCCCTTAAAAATAACCAGTCAGACCTTGACATTCACTCATCAATGACCTTGACTTTGAAGGTCAAATTATTGAAATTTTCATTTTTTTGGCTATTATTGGCTGTAACTTTGTTATTTTGAATGGATTGTCTTCAAACTTGAACATAATAATCTTCAAAGATAACTGTTAAAAATATACCGAAAGACCTTGACCTTCACTCATTAATGACATTGCCTTTGAAGGTCAAATTATTGAAATTTTCATTGTTTTGGCAGTAACTGACTGTAACTTTGCTATTTTTGAAGGGATAAACTTCATATTATAACAGAACATTCTTAAGGACCAGAACTTGTTGTTTATCAAACCCAAATTTGCTTGGGCTCTTTAATGACCTTGACCTTGAAGGTTATATTACTGAATTTTCTCAGATTGTGCATTTATCGGTGTGTGTGTATGTATAGTATATGTATTATATATAAATATATATATAAATGTGTGTGTGTATATATATACATATATGCAGGTATATATATATATATATATATATATATAAATATATATATATATATGCATGTATATATATATATATATATATATACATATATAGATATATATATATATATCAAATATATATATACATATCAAAATATATATATATATATATATACATATATACATATATATACATGTATATAATTGCGTCATGTTTTTCTATTTTAGAAATTGCGTCATTTTTTCTATTTTTAGAATTTGCGTCATTTTTTTTTCTATTTTTAGAAATTGCGTCATTGTTGCTATTTTCTATTTTTAGAAATTTCGTCATTTTTGTTCTATTTTTAGAAATTGCGTCATTGTTGCTATTTTTAGAATTTGCGTCATTTTTTCCTATTTTTAGAAATTGCGTCATTTTTTCTACTTTTAGAAATTGTGTCATTGTTGCTATTTTTAGAAATTGCGTCATTTTTGTTCTATTTTTAGAAATTGCGTCATTTTTTCTATTTTTAGAAATTGCGTCATTGTTGCTATTTTTAGTAATTGCGTCATGTTTTTCTATTTTTAGAAATTGCGTCATTGTTGCTATTTTTAGTAATTGCGTCATGTTTTTCTATTTTTAGAAATTGCGTCATTTTTTCTCTTTTTAGAAATTGCGTCATTGTTGCTATTTTTAGAATTTGCGTCAATTTTTTTTCTATTTTTAGAAATTGCGTCATTTTTGTTCTATTTTTAGAAATTGCGTCATTTTTTTCTATTTTTAGAAATTTCGTCATTTTTGTTCTATTTTTAGAAATTGCGTCATTGTTTCTATTTTTAGAAATTGCGTCATTGTTTCTCTTTTTAGAAATTGGTTCATGTTTTTCTATTTTTAGAAATTGCGTCATGTTTTTCTATTTTTAGAAATTGCGTCATGTTTTTCTATTTTTAGAAATTGCGTCATTTTTTTCTATTTTTAGAAATTGCTTCATTTTTTTTCTATTTTTAGAAATTGCGTCATGTTTTTCTATTTTTAGAAATTGCGTCATTTTTTATACTTTTAGAAATTGTGTCATTGTTGCTATTTTTAGAAATTGCGTCATTTTTGTTCTATTTTTAGAAATTGCGTCATTTTTTTCTATTTTTAGAAATTGCGTCATTGTTGCTATTTTTAGTAATTGCGTCATTTTTTTCTATTTTTAGAAATTGCGTCATTGTTTCTATTTTTAGAAATTGCGTCATTTTTTTTTCTATTTTTAGAAATTGCGTCATTTTTTCTATTTTTAGAAATTGCGTCATTTTTTTCTATTTTTAGAAATTGCGTCATTTTTTCTATTTTTAGAAATTGCGTCATTGTTGCTATTTTTAGAAATTGCGTCATTGTTGCTATTTTTAGAAATTGCGTACTGTTGCTATTTTTAGAAATATGCTTAATGTTTCTATTCATATATATACAAAATATATAAACAAAACTAATGTGACAAGACAGACCAACTAAATTTATAAAAAGGAAACATCAATATATGTTCAAACCTTTCTATGTTTGCGTTTAGAAAAAGTAAAAAGTCGAGCGTTGCCCCCGCCCGGCGGTGGCTCTTGTTCATCATTTGAGACAACAAAAAGGGGGGGGTGAAAAAGGCGTTAAAAGGCGTGTATATGAAGTAATGGGTTAAGGAAAACAGAATCAAATTAATGTACAGGCTGCTTTAACTGATAAACCGCACCCTTGAAATTTTTGTCATTTTTAACATATTGGCCATGGCCTATTGTCCAGGCAAAAAAAAAAGAAGTATTGCATCTGGAAATGTTATCATACTTGTATTATATAATTATAAATATTTTCAGCCTATATTTTACACGGGGATGTTGTCACAGTTCATGAACGTTCTACTACAAGTGTTGGTACACAAGTCACATGACCTGCTACAGGAGGAGATTGTTGTGACCATATATAACATGGCCTCTGTAGACTTTGACAGATTCTATTCGGAATTCTTGCCGCATTTCCTCACAGGATGTGACGGCCTAGATAACGGACAGAAACATATGCTAGGGCAAAACTTTAAAGTGGAAAAGGTATAATTTTACTCTTTTTTTTATGTATTACAAGATATAAGTAATTTAACTAAAACATGTTTATTATTTCAAAGAATATAGAGAGCTATTGTATTCACCCAGCCACTTGCATTGACTGGCATCTCGCATAACTTAATTTTTCCATACAAGTATCACCAAAACTACTAAAGGGAATTGGTTGAAACATCACACACTTGTCCTGATCATCTAACATGATGGGCACAGGTCCCATTACTCAAGTTACCTTTTACAGAGTTATGTTCCATTACTTACTTACAAGCACTGAGAATAGTCGAGCATATTGCCTTAACCTGTTACTGCAATAAGGTGTAGATATGTTTATGTACAGGGCATATTACATATTAGGCACTTTATCAGTATGTTGACATACTTTATAATTAGATTTTGTTGTGTATATTCAATTATTATTGTTTAAATTTATTATTAATTCCTTAATATTTTTGTTTATGATTTCAGGATCTCCCAACATTTACACAGAATCTACAGAGATTTGTGAATGATCTGAGATACTACAGACTTATGAACACTAGTTTACCTGCGGGATCTGTGCAATTTTCATGATGTTCATTAGTTGTTAGTGTGTTTTATTTAAGTAAAAAATCAATTGCGCATCTGCGCAGTCTGGTCAGGATCCATGCTGTTCACTATCAGTTTCTCTACTTGTAATAGGGTTGGTAAGCGACCAGCATGGATCCTGATCAGACTGCGCAGATGCGCAGGCTGGTCTGGATCCATGCTGGTCGCAAACGCACTATGTTGGTTTTGTCGTGACGCGTCTCAATTGTTTCTGAATGACAGCTTATGCCATTAGAGCAAGCAGCAATTATCAACTGTCTAAGTATGCTGTCAATAAAGAGTAAGGTCAGCCGGAGCAACCATGCAGTCAAATTAGGAATTTGCCTTCAGATGCATGCAGTCCAATGTGGGTCTGTATTCCTCAAGTTAGGTCAGTTCATACTATTTTCATGTTGAAAACTTCTAAATGGAATGTTCTATCTTCAAATTAGGATGAGTTCACGACACAAATTCAGTAAAGTAAGGGTTCAGTCTACTTTTTGTGTAATCTCAATTATTGACTAAGGTTTTGCATAGAAATTTCTAAAAAAAAGTATTTTTTAATGTTTATATTGGCTTAAGTATCAGTCATGTTATAGTTATCAAGTGATTGTTTGGTGCTATGTCTAGTAATATCTTTATTATCATTATCAATGATATTCTTATTGTATTGGTTTTGACACAGTTATTGAATTTATTTTCATTCTTGATTGGTAAATCACTAATGTTTATTGGCTGATCACTATCCTGATACAGCTACTGCTAAGATAAACTGCATGCTCACTCCATCATCACCTCATTAACTTCTTACATCTTCAGACCTTTTCTTTGCATTTAAGATTTTTGAAAAAGTAACTGTTCACAGACAGGATTTCCTTTTATTTAGAAATTCATATATTATCTGGGAAAAATCCCAAAACTTATAGAGGTAAAAGGCTTGTTTTAGTAATTTTTAAATACATATTATAAAGAAAACTGTTAATTCACACATGAAGTGAAGCTCTATGATTTTGTAAATTTAAGTGCCATTTTCAGAAAGTGCTAACTGTAAATTTGTTGAATAGCTGTTATTTGTAACTTGGTAAATCTTGGTGTTTTTTTTCCATCTAATCCCAGTGGTACAAACATACTTTTACTTCATAGCGTTAAGATGCAGTACAGATCACAATAGAGATAACAACACATTGGACATTTGATGGTTGTAATTGTAAAAGTTTGTTCGTACCCCGGGACTAGACGGGAAAGTCCACATTTTCCTGAGTCCCCAAGTATCTCTGTTCTATGTATTTTATTTAAGACTATAGAAACTTTACTATGTCAAGTTTTTATTTTTGTGCACTGAATAAATTGTTGTTTTGTTGACAGAGATATTAAAATATAGTCTCTAAAAAGCCATAAATTTTATTCTTATTATATTTTCGTGTTTAATTTGTTATTGTTTTGTGTTCACAAAGTGAAGCAGGGATTGTTGCAGGTTACTTCATTTTTCTTTTGAACAAAAACATGAAGTGAACAGAAAATTAGTTCAAGACTAGTAATGTCATGCAAGTAATACATTCAAAGAATGATTTTTTTCGGTTTCTAAATTTTTTTAATGGTTCATATACATGTAGTTGCCGATTTGTCCCGTGTCCATCTTGCCTTCCACAATTCAGTTATGTTTTTTTTTTTTTTTTCTCAGATCAAAATTTTTAATGGATGGATCCTACTATTGTTAATGGTCAAGTTATTTGTGTCAAGGTCAATGTAATTTTTGTCAAGGTCAAAGTAATTTGGGTCAATTTCAGTGTTTTAAAGGGAAAATCAGATTTTTATAAAAGTTTTACCATTGAAAGGCTAGATAAAGTGGAGCCTACATGATTTTCAATTTTGCAATTTTCGGTGTTGTTTAGGAATTTCGTTTCTCATTATTTTGGCTTCAAAGTCTCCAGGAAGCAACCGCATTTTTGTGTCGCCTCTACGGAGTAGTGGCGACATATAGGGATCACTTCTCCGTCGTCTGTCTGTCCGTCTGTCTGTCTGTCCATCCGTCCGTCACAAAACTTGTCCGGACTACTCCTCATAACTACTGGTGCAATTTCATCCAAACTTTACAGGAATGATCAGTACCAAGTCTAGTTGCGCATATTGTCAGGATTTTCCGGTTCAATGATTTTTGTCAGAGTTATGGCCCTTTAATAATTTTTAATTTTAAAGTTTGTCCGGACTACTTCTCTTATACCACTAATGCAATTTCAATGAAACTTTACAGGATTGATCTGTAGCTCAAGTCCTTGCGCATATTGCACGGGTTTTCCGGTTGAATGATTTTAGGCCGAGTTATGGCCCTTTGATAAAAAGGTGTTTTTTTCTGTGTGTTGCCAGATACACAAAAGCTTGTCCGGACTACTCCTCATAAACTACTGGTGCAATTTTCATCCAAACTTTACAGGAATGATCAGTACCAAGTCTAGTTGTGCATATTGTCAGCATTTTCCGGTTCAATGATTTTTGTTTGAGTTATGGCCCTTTAATAATTTTCATTTTAAAGTTTGTCCAGACTACTTCTCTTATACCACTTATGCAATTTCAATGAAACTTTACAGGATTGATATGTAGCTCAAGTCCTTGCACATATTGCACGGGTTTTCCGGTTGAATGATTTTTGGCCTAGTTATGGCCCTTTGATAAAAAGGTGTTTTTTTCTGTGTGTTGCCAGATACGCAAAAGCTTGTCCGGACTACTCCTCATAAACTACTGGTGCAATTTTATCCAAATTTTACAGGAATGATCAGTACAAAGTGGTTAGTCTAGTTGTGCACTGTCCGTCTGTCTGTCACAAAATTTGTCCCAACATGAAATTGGCCATCATGAGGCGACACATGTGATTACTGATCGCTCTTGTTGGTATTTTTGCCAATATTCTTTTTTTGAGATGACTCTTTCAAAATTTAACAGAGTTCAGTTAAATATGTTATTTGTTTGTTTTTTTAATTAAATATGCGGTAATTATGCCCCCACTTCAAAGAAGAGGGGGTATATTGCTTTGCACTTGTCGGTCCGTCGGTCCGTAGACCAAATGGTTTCCGAGTGATAACTAAAGAACCCTTAGGCCTAGGAATTTCAAACTTGGTATGGTGATTGGTCATGATCAGTAGATGACCCCTATTGATTTTGGGGTCAAAGGTCAAGGTCACATTGACCTTGTAAGCAAAAACGGTTTCCGATCAATAACTAAAGAACCCTTAGGCCTAGGAACTTCAAACTTGGTATGGTGATTGGTCAGATCAGTATATGACCCCTATTGATTTTGGGGTCAAGGGGTCAAAGGTCAAGGTCACATTGACCTTGTAAGCAAAAACGGTTTCCGATCAATAACTAAAGAACCCTTAGACCTAGGAGCTTCAAACTAGGTATGGTGATTGATCATGATCAGTAGATGACCCCTATTGATTTTGGGGTCAAGGGGTCAAAGGTCAAGGTCACATTGACCTTGTAAGCAAAAACGGTTTCCGATCAATAACTAAAGAACCCTTAGGCCTAGGAACTTCAAACTTGGTATGGTGATTGGTCATGATCAGTAGATGACCCCTATTGATTTTGGGGTCAAGGGGTCAAAGGTCAAGGTCACATTGACCTTGTAAGCAAAAATGGTTTCCGATCAATAACTAAAGAACCCTTAGGCCTAGGAACTTCAAACTTGGTATGGTGATTGGCCATGATCAGTAGATGACCCCTATTAATTTTGGGGTTAAGGGGTCAAAGGTCAAGGTCACATTGACCTTGTTAGCAAAAACGGTTTCCGATCAATAACTAAAGAACCCTTAGGCCTAGGAACTTCAAACTTGGTATGGTGATTGGTCATGATCAGTAAATGACCCCTATTGATTTTGGGGTCAAGGGGTCAAAGGTCAAGGTCACATTGACCTTGTAAGTAAAAATGGTTTCCGATCAATAACTAAAGAACCCTTAGGCCTAGAAACTTCAAACTTGGTATGGTGATTGGTCATGATCAGTAGATGACCTCTATTGATTTTGGGGTCAAGGGGTCAAAGGTCAAGGTCACATTGACCTTGTAAGCAAAAACGGTTTCCGATCAATAACTAAAGAACCCTTAGGCCTAGGAACTTCAAACTTGGTATGGTGATTGGCCATGATCAGTAGATGACCCCTATTGATTTTGGGGTCAAGGGGTCAAAGGTCAAGGTCACATTGACCTTGTTAGCAAAAACGGTTTCCGATCAATAACTAAAGAACCCTAAGGCCTAGGAACTTCAAACTAGGTATAGTGATTGGTCATGATCAGTAGATGACCCTATGGATTATGGGTCAAGGGGTCAAAGGTCAAGGTCACATTGACCTTGTAAGCAAAAACGGTTTCCGATCAATAACTAAAGAATGCCTAGGCCTAGGAACTTCAAACTTAGTATGATGATTGTTAATGACCAGTAGATGACCCCTATTGATTTTGGGGTCAAGGGCTCAAAGGTCAAGGTCACATTGACCTTGTAGGTAAAAACGATTTCCGATCAATAACTTAAGAACCCTTAGGCCTAGGAACTTCAAACTTGGTATGGTGATTGGTCATGACCAGCAGATGACCCCTATTGATTTTGGGGTCAAGGGGTCAAAGGTCAAGGTCACATTGACCCTGTAGGTAAAAGCGGTTTCCGTTCAATTAACTAAAAACGCTTAGGTGTAGGAACTTCAAACTTGGTATGATGATTGGTCATGATCAGCAGATGACCCCTATTGAGTTTTGGGTCAAGGGTTCAAAGGTCAAGGTCACATTGACTTTGTAGGTAAAAACAGTTTCTGATCAATAACTAAAGAACGCTTAGGCCTAGAAACTTCATACTTGGTATGATGATTGGTCATTGCCAGCAGATGACCTATTGATTTTGGGGTCAAGTGGTCAACAACTTGGCTGTCATTAATGAGACCTACATGATTCATAAAATTTATGCATATATTATTTGGTAAGATTTGTACTAACTTAAATTGCTGCACACAACCTATAGGGTCACAATAATTATTACCTTGTGACTAGTCATGACCAGTAGATACTTAAGATAACCCTTATTAATTGTTTGTTCACTGGGTCAGAAGTCAAGCATAATAACCTGATCACATGACTAATTGGCTTCCGACAGGGGGCATACATGTTTTACAAACATTTCTTGTTTCTTTTTTGTTTGGAATCTTTAATGTTGAGTAGGTATAGATATTTGAAAATTGAATTTTAGTTAGCAGAAAGAGACAGTATTAAATGTAATAGATTAAAAGTTCAGAAATATGGAAAGAATGTTGTAAGACTGTGAAAATAATGTTTAAAAAGTAGAACATGCACAATAAATCTTTGGCATTTAGATTATCTCTGTGATATATTGTAAAGTGTCTTGTTTAAATAAAGCTTATGTGATTGTTGCACCAAGTGGTTTATTGCTGTTAGTTTTATATTTATAGATGGATAAACATAGTATTAAATTTATGGTAAAAGAGTCAGAAATGTATTTGAAATACATGTACAGACAAATTTGAAAATACATAATTTGAGATATTCTGAGCAGTGAGGTCAGTATGTCTGGATAGTAAATATCTTTTACCTGTTTTTGGTCAAACATGTTATTAAAAAGTGGCTGTTTTCTTTTAGATGTTGATATTTAGTGTTGATTTTGTCAATTTGTTTTGGCTTTTGTTGATAATCATGCATGTTTCAAAACACCACCACTACAAGGACAGCATTGAGATTAAAAATAAATTCAGTATTTACATTATCATTATTGCAAGGGATTGTATAAGTTTGACTAGGATATTACCCCCATTATTATTTATTATATACATGTATGGTAAACATTTCATATAACAATTGTTAATGTCACAGGGTGAGAAAAATGTGCAGCCTGACGTGGACTCAAATCTGGGTCCCTCGGGATACGGTACCGTGGCTCTGTCCGGCCACTTACACACTTGCTCCCCTAATTATTGAACAGTTTAATACTGTGACATTGACATAAATATGTAAAAATCATCATCAGTGATAACTTTTTTTGCCATGACATTAATTTTCGGGGTACTGATACGGATTTTCATTTCTGAAATGTTATATAAATATGAACAGTTTTCGTCAAAATTCATCATTTTCATTCTGATGATTACACAGATACTGTATTTTGAAACAAAACTTCATTATAATTGGCTACAGTTATATTCACAGAAATGGCAGTTGTAAGTTTTAGCACTGTGGCGAATAGTTATTTCACTGTGGTGATACGTTATTGCGTCGAATCGTTATTTCCCTGTGGTAAATAGGTATTGTGGCAAATTCTTATTTCACTGTGGTGAGTCACTATTGTGGAGAATCATTATTTCACTGTGGCGACTCATTATTGTGGCGAATCGTTTGTACCACTTAATTTCAAAAAGACAAGTTATAGGCTCTTAGGAAATGCATGATGGTTCATTTAAGAGATGTACTAATATAAAAGGGACGTAACTCACTTATATTAATATCAGATATTTTGAAGCATTATTCTGTGTAACTTCTTCAGTAAATATTTTTTATACTTATCACAATTTGTGGACATCATTGTTGTTTTAGTTGTGAAGGCATAATAATTGTTTTGTCTTTGTTCAGCATTCATGTTTTGTCAGACAATATTTTTTTCCAAATGTAAAATTTTCTATAATAAAAAATATGAAAATGATGAGTTTTTTGTTGTTTTCATATGCCTTGGTGTATATTGTAATGCACCTGGTTGTCCGTCCGTCTGTCTGTTTGTGCAATTTTGTGTTTGGTCAGTATCTATTGAAGGAGATTAAAACTACTTGGCAGAAATGTAAACCATGATAAGACGATGTGCAGAGGGCAGCTTTGACCTTCCATAGGTCAATGTCACATTTAGAAACTTCCTATGAATTTCAAAACTTCGTGTCCACTCTGTATCTTTTGAACCAAATTAAATTTTTTGGCAGAAATATAAAATATAATGAGACGATATGCAGGACACAGATTCGGGTTGTCCGTCATAGAAACGTGTTGTCCTGAATAAGAAATAAATAAGTTTAGTAACTTTTCCTTATTCCATTATGACCTGTGATGAGTAAAAAGTATACTGTTAAGAGTGCACCAATGCATCCAATGCATTTCTTTTTATCACGGTTCAGAACTGTCACTATTTAAGACAGATGGAAAATGGGTTTTTGGCCCCACGAACGCTTGTCAGAGGCAGTGACATGTGGCAGCGTTCACAGTTTGCTTAAAAGTTGATTAATTAATTTACAGAACGAATGATTTAATCATGCCAGAAGAATTTTGTGGTAATATTTCACATTTTGATTAAAACCAATATGAATAATAAATACTGTTATTTTGGCATCATGTACAATGATGTAATAAATTGAAACATTCCATTTCATTTACACAACCAGAATATTTTAGTAAAATTAATAACGCGGCCGATTTGATTTTGCTAGAAAAATACACTTTCATCATTACTTAATGTGATTAAATGTGATACATTGTTTTTTCGTTTTATAGTCACAATTTATAACAATCATTAAAGGCGCATTATTCCTCAGAAACAGATGTTTCTTTCTTTAAAAAGGGCAAACATGATTTTTATAACAATTAAATAATGGATTTAGGGCAGGTTAGATGTTTATCACCTAAAAAAAGTATCACTGATTGTGAATTTATTTATCATTAACAAAGGCAAATGTAAACAAAGTAGTAGTTTGTCTTCCATACAAAATACTTAACTACTATAACTATACTAACTGCCAAGAGTTAGAGAAGGAAACGATTGTTAACGTAATAGGCCAAATGTGTAACTGTTTTGAAACTATAACAAGACACCAAAAAAAGAAAAAGATTTTGAGAAATAAAAATAAAATCATTTCTGTGTCATACTGGGTCTTTAACAAATAAGGCAGTGGGAGCTGACCATGTTTTCAAAACTGCTTTTGTTTTGTTACCCATATGAGCCGCGTCACAACAAAACCAACGTAATGCGTTTGCGACCAGCATGGATCCAGATCAGCCTGCGCATCCGCGCAGTCTGATCAGGATCCATGCTGTTCGCTATTAGTTTCTCTACTTATAATAGGGTTTGTAAGCGAACATTTTGATCCGGATCAGACTGCGCGGATGCGCAGGCTGGTCTGGATCCATGCTGGTCGCAAACGCATTACGTTGGTTTTGTCGTGGCGCGGCTTATATATTTATTATGATACATTGACACAACTTATATTTGCTGAATCAAAAGAACGTCCATGGCACTGAACTGGCATAGACACACTTGTGAATATATGGAAAACGCTGAGCCTCACGACTATCAACAAAATTGTTTATAGATGGTGTTGAGATGCGCTAAATGTTAGCGTTACACTATAGACGTGCCAATATAAAATGGTCCTTTTTCACTTCAAACAAACTTAATTTTTTGAATGTGATAAATAGAATATTAAATTCGTGTAAGTTCATTACTAAATTCATTGAACGAGTTGAATAGTTATATCATGCTTATTCAATATCCTCTACATAATGTTTGACATGTAAAAAAAAGGATTGCCTAAAAGTACACTATTTGAGCATGTGAAAAGTACTATATAAGAATATGAAATTTTGAACATGTGAAAAATATGATCTATGGTACACTTTTACACTTTGTCGATAGCCAACACAACCATTATCAATATCGCCTTTTCGTCTTGCCGTCCGGTCGCTAGTGCCAAAAGGCGCGTTGTCGCACTGTCATCATGTCGCCCTGTCGCTAGCGAAACACGCCAAACCACGCTTTGTCTTGCGGCGCGTTTTTCCCGATGTCGCCCTGTCGTGTTGCTTATTATCTCTATATAAATAGCCAATCCTTCCATTTGAGCCGAGCGACAATGTGACATCGCGAAAACACGCCGCCCGACAACGCGCCGTTTAACGTGCATCGTTAGCGGCAGGACGACATGACACCGTTTGGCGCTTTCTCGTCCTGTCGCTAGCGACAACACGATGCACAAAGGCGTTCCAAATCAGCCACCATAATTTTCTGTGGATAAGGTATTTTCACATTGTTTGCCAAGTGGTTCGGATTATACTTTCAAACACCGGTTTATATACGAAGACCATTTAACCTGTCAAAAATCTTAATAACTAATAATATACATGTATATACACTTAATTTGCTGTCGTAAAATTCATGTTAAATATGATGCACATACCAATATGAAATTGTGAACATTTGAATATTTCATATTTTTAGGAGATGAAACTATGTACGAATTATTTCAAACATGTGTGTGGAGTTTTGAACAGGTAAAATATGTACGAATATCATATTTTGAACATGTGAAGATAAGTACGAATATAAGTTTATACCATCAGAGATTAGCCAAAATCGTCTGTCCTGTTTCGGCGTCATATAACATTAATTGTGTTAGTGCGCCGTTAAATTTAAAGCATGCATTTATTTCATGCAAGAACTATATTTAGACATAGTCAATCCTTCTATCAAGACGTACGATAAGAATCGGCCAGGTTAAAATCATTAAAAACTCATTTAGATAAAAAAAATCAAGGCTAATTGCAGACTGGTAAGAGAGTTTAATTTAAAATTGATTTTGCAAGACATTTTTATAACGATTGAACTGTATTTAAAATTAAAATTGAGGTACGTATTTATGCTACAATGGCTATAAATGTTTGCGTTTGTGTCTTGAATGACGTGACGTGGTCAAGTACAGAATTAAAAAAAACATCAATTATGATCATGACTGGGGAAAAGATTAAATAAAAATCATAGTTCTCTTTATAAGAGGAACATAATTATACGAGGATTGGGGCGGTGGTTAAAAATATGTAACACCTCATTTCTGTAACTTTGTGTAACACAATGCATGAAAAAATATAGTATTTTTTCATATGTAAATGATAGGTATGTTTATTTATTTCTGTACTTTTATTACTATACTTTGGTTATTTTACCTAATTAAAGGTCCATTGTGTTGGTTATTTTAATTGCACCTAAAGCCTTGAACTTTAATAACTCAGTTCGCATAAATCATGCGTTTCACTTAATATTTATGTTATTCGTAAACTTCTTTACAATCCATGCTTGAAATATTTCATACTTGTATGATATACATGTACTACGTAAAACATGTTTTTTCTTCTTTAATTGATGTAACATCTTCATAACTTGATTGTCATTGCTTAATCCGATTTGCGATTTCTTCACAGAATGCTTTATGAAATGTTAAGTTTTACTTTTGTACTTACAGAAGCCGTTTTCTGTCAGCATCTTCCTTTATGTTCTTATTTCGACAAAAAAATGATGATTCCCATGATGTTGGTTTCGGTAAGACATTTTTATAACGTCAGCGAACATTATCATTCTCTAATCATCTTCTTAATAATGGATTCTTAAAGTCACCTTCTTATAAAACATATACACAAGGACATTTTGAACATATATCCCTCTATTTTCACACGAGCATTTGCAATATTGAGCAACAATTCAATATATATTTGGCAGAATTAATTATTCGTAAGATTGTGAACTGTTGTAAGGTAATCATTGAAAATGGTTCTAGCAAGATTACAGTTGTTATCAAGAAATATAAAAAAAAAACAATAATAAAAACACAAATAAAAGCTTTTAAACTTCATGTCAATAAAAGCATTAAAAGGATATATAACCGGCATGTATTTGTATTGTCGAGATTATATAATGTTTCTATTTCTGTTACAGGCGCTGCTCGTTCAGATGTTGTTTGTGTCGTGTCATTGTTTTGTCCTAGAGACTGATGCTACCGATTGCCCCGTAAACTGTAGTTGCGCAGACGACTTTATTTGTAGCAACAGATCGTTACGAATGGTGCCATGGATTCCAAAAACTCGCCGTTGCAAAATAAGTCTGAATGATAATCACTTAACTAACATAGAAGCAGGAATATTTAAAAATCAAAGTACTAGCCAAGTTTGTAATATAAATTTTGATAATAACGAAATTCAGGAAATAGCGGATGGAGCTTTTGATTGGATTAAGAATGCATCGATTACTTTCTATTTAAGACAAAATAATTTGTCATTTATTCCAAAGGCTTTCGAAAACCTTTCGCAGTTACGTGCTTTATACTTCAATGGAAACCCGTTGATGCATTTGAGTTCACAAACTATGATCAGTATTGGTCGCTCATTGATGACCTTCACCTTTGATATGGGCTATTTTCAGTCTTGGCCACACGAGCTTCGGTATTTACGTTCGTTAGCCACCCTTAAGATAGGTTACATTCCATTTTATGTATTACCACAAAATGCTTTTCATGGATTGGAAAGCACATTATTCAGTCTAGAGATTCACAACTCAAAGCTGGAAGAAATTCCACGTGCGTTATGCATATTCAACTCCTTACAATATTTAAACTTTTCATCAAATCATAACCTAAACAGAATGACTTCACAGGTTACCAGTCACTGCACAAACAACAGCTTTCAGGTCTCATTTTTTTATTTTGATGATAATGACTTGGAAATATTTCCAGACTTAAGTTTGTTTCATAACGTTTACAGTATGACTGCAAACAAAAATGGTTTTCTTGTCATGAATGGTGACTTTCTAACTTCTTCAAATTTCACCATTTACAGTCTTGATCTAAACAAGAACAATTTTACTCGTATACCATTCGCGGTAAATGAATTCAGATCATTGGCGCAGTTGAATATGGCTTACAACTCCATCACAAGTGTCGCCGATCCCGACATTTCGAAGCTTACCGATTTGAATGTCCTCGATCTGAAAGGCAACCCAATATTGTATATCTCCAAAGACTCTTTCATCAACAATTTAAAACTAAGTGTGTTAGATTTAAGCGAGACCAGACTGTCCCAAATACCCGTTGCCGTTATGACCCTGAGTAACCTTGTTCAGTTAGGCTTAGACAATACTCCCGTTGACTGTACGTGTGACCTGGCATATTTGAAGTCTTGGAATAAAACCAACACAATTTCTGACACATCCCACTGTTACCTATCGACAGAGAAAACCAGAGATTTTCTTGAACAGTCTCTGATACATTGCTAAGACAGAACCTAAACATTCTTTCTTAATTCCTGACAAATTTGCAGGCTTTAATCATATATTTTTGCCATTGCTATCACTGATGTTTTTGTTTGTTTGATTGGGTTTTACGTCACACCGACACAGTATAGGTCACTGATGTTTTAAGCATATTTAGATAATACTGTAACATTTTAATATGTTCTGAACAGTTTGTTTGTGAAATATACTGTTATGGATTAATATTACTAAACGATTCTTTGAGATAAATACTGTTATGGATTAATATTAATGAACGGTACTTCTTTGATATATACATGTATACAGTACTGTTATGGACTTATATTATTGAACGATTGTTTGAAAAGTTATGGATTTATATTAATGAACGATTCTTTGTTAAACATTCTTTTATGGATTAATATTTATAGTAATAAATAAATGGAAGATTCTTTGCGAAATGCACTGTTATGGGGAAATATTAATGAACGATCCTATGTGAAATATATATAGTCTTATGTATCAATGATTATGAAGGATACATAGTGAAATGAAAATAACAAGTTATAAATTATTAATATCAATGAACGATTCTTTGTTGGAAAAATACTTATATGAACGATTCTTATCAACGATTCGTTGAGAAATAAACATTTGTTGAGGAATTTGATACACGATATACATTGTATACTGTATTGTATAATTTATCAATGAACTTTTTACATGTTTTATGACGTTCGTATGGAAACATTTTCAAATATTATACAAATATGGACTTTTTAGCTGTTGAATATGATGTGATATTTACTGAAAAAATTAATATTGACCGAGGCGATAGCCGAGGTCAATATTAATTTTTCAGTACATCATATTCAACAGCATAAAAAATACATATCTGTTTTATTACATAATCTTTAAATAGCTTTTATATGGCTTATCACATCTGTCATTGCATACGATGGAAATCATTATTTTTCAGCTTGTCTACTGTTTCCATAATTTGACCCTTTCCATTGGCATGCTTATCCCTATTTTTCTTAAAAATGAAAAATAGTAACTAATATAGACTAATTACTAGTATTTTGACTCTTATGTACACCCAACTCAACGTTTCTTCAGAATGATAACTACAAACATGGCGTGACGTCACGTCAAAGTCTCGCGTCTTTTAGGGATTTTCCAGAAAATCTATTTTAGAAGAAAAACCGGTGAATATACTCTGAAAATCTATTTTTAGGAAAAAAACAGTGAATATACTCTGATATTGACCTGTTATTTTTTACAAAAAGTTGCTTGTTAGCCAATCAGGGAAAGGCATTTCAAAGCTATTTATAGATTATATAATAAATGCTTATACCACATGATCGACTGTTTGGTTGATATTAATTATATCTATAGATTGATTGTTGGTGCCTAGAAAAGATCGTTTCATAAATAGGTGTTTACCTTATACCAATTAAAGAAACTTAAACTCAAAGACCGTCTTGTTTTGATTTTGTTCACAGACAGTCGTGCTTTTAGACATTCCTCGTGTCACGACGCATTCTCCCTAGCACCAGCTCTGGCAGTACTAGTATACTAGCATACAAACAGTTTGATAGGATCCATATTTAGTTACTCCTGTGTGCATCATTTGAAGTTACATTCTTGACATAGACTTTTAATATGTACTCTATAGTAGTACAACAGACCTAAGCTTATGAACATAATGCTTATTATCAGGCTATCATTCCACTTGTCCCTTACCGCTGTGGGTTCGAATCCAGACAGGGACTTTTGATTCTTTCATGTGAGGAAGCCATCCGACTAGCTTACGGCGCTTCGGTGGTTCTACTCAGGTGGCCGTTCGTGCCTGAAATAATTAACAGAAGGGCACATGAGGTCTTCATCCACCAGTAAAGCTCGAAAGTCACCATATGACCTTTACTGTGTTAGTGAGACGTAAACCTTAACACTTAAACAACAACAAATTGGTTTGTTCACCATACACTGGAGCACATAACACGTACAAACCCAAAATTATTTCATGCAAGAGTGTTTGTTTATTTAATGCAAGTTTTTAACATTTTGAAGATAAACTTTCACCTATCACCTTTTCCCGGTTCATTCATTTCTACCTAGGTAGCCAATTTTAAATATTTTTTACATTAATTAAATTTTTAAATGAATATTCACCTAAATAACCAATTCTAAAATATAACTTTCACCCATATTGACGGTTTTAATTTTTGTGAAATTTAACCAGATAATTGCTTCTTCGGTATTGAATTTATATATGAAGATAAATTCAATATACACATTACATGAAATCTATTCAAATAGGTTCTGCATCGTATAATTATCTTAACATATATTTAAAATTAATACATAGGTATAAATGCAAAATAGGTATCTCTCATTATAATATAAAGTGTACACATTTATATCTTAAATAATGTATGATTTGTAATGCTATATCCTAATTATACGCCCTATATTTCATTTCCATACACTGTACAATATACATACATATTGGACTGTAATCAAGCTACCAGAGCTACAGAGCCAGGCTAGCCTAAACATATGTGTAGTTTGACTACAGGCTCAATACTGGTCACTGTAAAGTGGTAAGTCTTTAGCACCTGTCCAGAATAGAGCCATACGGTGCAGTTTGACTACAGGCTCAATATTGTTCACTTCAAACGGGTAAGTCTTTGACACCTGTCCAGTATAGAACCATGCTAGCCTGCACGTCCGTGTAGTCTGACTAGGCTCTATACTGTTAATTGACCAAATTTTAAAATTTCAGTTTGATATTCCAAATATTGATAATGGAAAATTCTAAGAGCAGTAAGCTTGAAAAATCCACATAATTATTAAGAATTTAAGGGCACGTAATGGTTTGTTTCCATGAGCAAGACACTTCACTCATTGCTCAGTACTGGTTTGTTCAAGGAAAGGATTCGAGATTGTGTCTTTAAGCTTATCTCTTCCTACACTGTCGAACTTAAATAAATTACGTATCAACCAACTTAAGGGTTAACTAAGTTATACTCTTTAACATTTCATACATTAAATAAGCTATCACTTCTTTAGCCGGCTTATATAAATAGACATGCTAATGTGAAGTATAGTTTATGTGTATATAACCCGAGTACATATTAACGAATGAATTACGATATTAGGTGGTATTACTAGCAATCAAGTATGGCTCGAACTGTATCGCCTATTATTGCTTTAATGTAATTAAACACAAAGTTAAACAATATTTGGCACAAGAACAGATCAAGATGCTGATTACCTCAAAATTATTTCACTGTAACTTGGTAACTCAGCAGCAACAGTATAAGGTGGCGGCCTATTATAAGGCGTTCCGGCGTGACCAGTCACGCCGTTACAATTTAGCGTTCTCCGCTCATTCGATACAGATATCACTTGTTGCCCCGCTTGATTCACCGAGTCTCTTGTTTCATTCTCTTGCGGTGACGACACATAATGACGTTGTGGTGTCACATTATCTTGCTGTGACGACATATATCTTTCGACCATCTCAAATCGCCTAGAGCGCGATCTTTCGATGCGTTTTATTGCACAATAATGCTGCAAACTTTGGTAAACAGCAAACACCATACTTATTGCTGCAGCAAAATGCATAAATACCCCGACAGCAGACAGTATTTTTGCCCAAGCATCGCTAAAACTATTGCTTGAATCTACGGCAGTAAGTTTAAGCACCGGTATAAGTAAAAACATACCTGAAAATAGAGAAACAAAACAGAGAACGTTTTGTACGTAAATAGAGGATATTGAATGAGTGTAAGTTTAATACTGAATTTATTGAACGAGTAAATGCGAGCCTCTGGCGAGCATAATGTTATTTTATTCAAAGAGTTATGAACTTACACAAAATGGATATTTTATTTATCACATACCAAATACAGTGAAAAAGAACCATTTTTTATTTGCGCGCCTCTAGTGTAACGCTAACATTTATTGTGCCTAAACGCTTTGTCTGTATAACTCAGAAGACGTCATATCAAAATATATGCACGACCGTGCATTACCATTTTTACGGAGTCGGCACGGACATGTGATAAATAGAGGATATTGAATGAGTGAGGGTTCAATATTGAATTTATTGCACGAGTTGAATAAAATTATATTATGCGAGCCTCTGGCGAGCATAATATTATTTTATCCAACGAGTGCAATAAATTCAGTAATGAACTTACAAGAATTTAATATTCTATTTATCACTTACCCAAAATAAAGACCGTTGAAAGAGAAAAAGAGTCATTTTTCATTGACGCGCCTATAGTATAACGCTAATATTTGGCGCGTCTTTACACTATGTTTGTATAACGCTAATGACGTCACGTCAAAATATATGCACGGCCGTGCAATACCATATTTACGGAGTCGCAAAATCGGCACATGTGTGTGTGATAAACTAGTATAAGCTAAATTCAGGCTAATAACACTAGGCTAATCATATCTAAGTCTAACAATCTGTAACAAATGTGCTGAATGCCTATTTGTATTATATACGTCAATAACCTTAAAACACAAACATCATTTGCTTACATATCACACATTAGAAAACAAAGTTAGGTAATGGAACACAAACAACCAGGAAAACGGCATCTAAAATCTAACAAAATTTGACACGTTCCAAATCAGGGGGTCGAACGTATAGCGGTGCGATACTTCTTTAAGCGAGGTGAATTCATGCGATACGCCCTAATGGCGGACGGGAGCGAAAACGAAAGTGGGTATGAGCTTGTTTTTTCCAAATGTTTGTTGTCTGTTGTAATTTTTTGAAGAATAGCATTGTGCATGCATGATCAAACTTATAATTGTGCATGATTGTCAAAATAAAATTCTAAATTTTATAGAATTGAGGAAGTTATTGAGGTATTTGTTGCTGCAAATTCAATCGTCAACCTGATATGCACATGCAAACGAATAATGTATCAGTCGTTTTAAAACGAGATATTCGATTAGTTTAAGTCCCAACATGTTTATTTTTGAAATAAAACGATATACAAGAGTAGTTTTCCATATCTATCCGAAAATATATAAAATATTTCCAGTTTTTTTTTATTGTACGCCTAATATTTGGTCCGATAAACCAACTGTACGCACAAATGTTGGTATGTCTTTCTGTAGCAACTTCCTCATTACAGTACATTCTTATTTCAATTTTTATGAAAAATCAAGTTTTGAGTTTGTATGTTAATCATATGAAAACCACAGTGTCAATTAAAACAACAGTGTCAATTAATGTATTATACTATAGTATAGTTAATTTAAATATTTTTTTCCCACAAAGGTTAATCATTAAAATGAGATAAGTTATGCACAGAAATTTGAAATTATATCGAGTAATCAATAGTCACGATAATATTCGTTTTGTTTTTTCCATTTTTTTACATTGGAACTTGAAATTTATAAAAAAAAATACTGGTTTGATTTCCTCTATGGATTGGATGTTATATATTATATACAGAGTACACCATTGTATTTCAGCAATAGTAATTCTGGTGTTTGTCATTAGCTCTGTCGCTTTGAATATATAATTAAACTACTCCATAACCAGTGTATACCAAACAGCTTTGTGTATTTGCTTATGAAAGCATTCATACTTTTAGTGATTTAACATATCTGCCAGTAGTTTTACTTTCAAAACTGGCTTTCTCTGCAACATTTAATGTATAGCATAACCCCTAACTTTTTTGTAAATATTCATTTCCACTAGGAGTTACTCTTATTGTTAAAGCAAGAGTACCAAGAGATTTGTACTGTTACAGGCCAACAGCACTTTTTAACAGTATAAAATCTGGGCAAGTGTGTTTTTATGTGAATAAAAGTAATATAGATTACAGTATCTGTTCGGGAAATAAAATAAATAACCCACAAGCGTTTGTGAGTAACAGTAAAAATATCAACCCTCTTAAAAACTGTTTCCCTCGGCTAACACCTTGGCTAACAGTATTTTCCATGGGATGACATTTTAACTGTAACCCACAAACCCTGTATTATTTATATACTACTCCATAAGCAGTGTGACTCAATCTAATATTATATACTCAAAAGCTTTTTTGTTTATTTGCACATGTGTCAGCATTTGTACTTGTGGTACTTAATAACCTATCTGGCAGTAGATTTGTTCGTTAATCAATTTGTAATGTTTTAATTGCTCTGCAACATTTACAACTGTGTATTTGCACATGTGAGCATCAGCTGTTCCTAAGGAAGACACTGAACTGTTTGGTGTCCAATGACTGACTGAATTTTGAAATTGTATTTTTGTGTTTTTTCCTGACAGGCCACAATTATGTGCACTACAAAAATAGCCTGTTCTAAGCAAGATTTAAAAAAATAATTTTACCACCTAAAGATTTTTACCACCTGGTTCTCAGTCTCTATCTCTAGAACAGCAGTGAAATGTACTTTTAATGTATTTTATAGGTTGTTTGAAATGTTCAATTCTATTTATAATATGAAAAAAACTATCAGTTTGACAGCAGCATGTAAAAACGATCTTAGAAGCTCATGAAGTAAAACAGCCCTTATATCACATATTAACTGCTATTTTTCTGAAATGTTCTGCTTTGAAAGTGAGTTCATTTATACAAGATTTCTTATTTGGTTTCTTAAATTCATTCTTACATATTTTGGTCAAATTCCTACTTTTTATCTAAGATCTTAGATTAAAGGTTACTTTTTTCCAACTCCTAATTCTCACAGGATAATTATTATTAATTATTCAAACACCTATATGAAGAGATTAATACACGGCAGAGTAGGGCCGGAAGGTGATAATCGGTCCCCAAAATGAATAATGGCCCCGAGGGCTTCAGCCCGAGGGCATTATTCATTTTAGGGCCGATTATCACCTTCCGGCCCTACTCTGACGTGTATTGATGTCTTTAATACACTTGGTATATCTAATAGTAGCATTAAAAAAAAACAACAACAATAAATACTTTGTTTCAAAGTTCTTTCATTGAAATTCTTGTCCACACTTCTACTGTTTTGAACAGAGATGTTTACTGTTTGTGTGTTCAAAGCAGTAGAATCTAGAAGCAATTTTTATTTTCATTTTTTTTCGGAATGAATTTGTCGTATTATTTCTTCAATTTTCAATAGTAACAATAATGTGTTTGTACTAACGCTTAAGCTCTCACAATAAAAATAAAGCGATTCGTGCTGACAAACTACTTTCACTTTTACAGTTAACTGTTTGATGACGTAAAATATGACGTCATTGTTTCAGTTTGTGCACGTGCACATGTAGTTTGTGCACGTGCACATGTTTTGCGGGCTGATAACTAGTTCTCGGCCCCGGGCCGCAAACTCATAATAGGTCATGTTACACTCATAATCAGTTGAAATCATAGGCAATTTTGTTACTATATATAGTAACAAGTGTATTAAAGATGGTGATACAAAACTTTTATTTCAAGTAAATCTTTAAGGAAAGAAGATTTCAGAATTCCGGAAACGGGCAAATATATGGTAGATATTTTAGTATAATCAAAGGAAAACATGTACAGCAGATGTGATAATGAAAAATATTGAACCTTTAACAGCGTACAGTTATTTTATCGCACCAAAATTCAGCGTACACTTAAATATTTTGACCAGTGAACGTCTATGTATATCGGAGCACAAAGAGACTTGCTATGCAACTCAATTATGATTACTCTTATAGAATAAAGAAGAAAAAGAAATTAACTATATTAATATAAGCTTGCATTAAGCGATTTTATTCACCGACCCAAAATTAGTTGCCGTCAGTTTACCTTCAATAACTTTTTTAGTTATGAATTTAGGCCTCTGTAATTTAGACGAAATGTCTGTCGGTCCTATCTTCACATCCTCAATACAAAATATGCAATTGTAATCAAAGATTTATGAAATACTTAATACAAAACACTCACTCTGACGTGTTTTACATGGGTAAATCCGCCATTAGGGCGTATCGCATGAAATCACCTCGCTTAAAGGAGTATCGCACCGCTATACGTTCGACCCCCTGCAAATTATGTTATGAACTGAACCGAAGTCCTGAACAAAACTGTTGGCGATGTAATTAGATATTCATACATAAGTGACTATCACAAAAAATGGCGTGCATGTATGTATAGCCCTTTCTAGTTTTAACAAAATTTGGATCATCTTTAAAATGAAAACATCTTACTTGATGAAAGGGATGTGATCCCGCTTGCAAATAGTATAATAATAGATATAGTCTGGTTCTTAGGATTCTTTGAAAGAAATATTGTTGTCAAAACAACTGCCAGAAAATTGCACACAATGGCCATTATCGTCAATACTTTAAACTGCGTCCAGTGGAATTCTTCCAAAACTGTTGGAAAAAAGAATGCAAATATTAATACTTATACTAATACTGAGCAATACAAGCTAGCATACGGTGTTAATAACTTCAAGTATCGGACTACTTCTATGTCGAAATATCCCTTACCTTGTGGGTATGATATTCAAAATTGCTATTTCTGCAAATATTCAAGTTGCATGCTTTAAGATGAGCCAAAATATTTTAATAAAACCAAACTTTAGAAAATTGTACTGATATTTTAGGAAATGTAAAAACATTCAAGATAAAAGTAAAAATATCCACATAAAGTGCTATTTATGACCGATTTTGCAGTATTTTCTACCGTATTTCTAGTGTGTTACTAACACATTAATAATTATGGCTATTTTTGCACATCTTTAACTCTTTTTGGTAATTTAAAAGTGCCGTTTGCAATGTGTAAATTATTTTCTTTGTTCAATTCACAACATTTTTATCTTTCTTTTTTAATACATTTTCAAAATTTTCATGAAAATTATCAGGAATCTGGAGGCGTGCTGCTTTGACAATCTTTTGAATCTGCATATCTTAACATTTCTTACTCTTGTCATATTTTTCTTCACAACTCATCTGGGGCTTTAATATTTTAAGGATTATCTAATGATGGCTATATTTTCTTATTGACAACATTCATTTCAGTTAACATGTAATTAAACTCTGAGCCTACTGGTAGCAAATACTTCTACCCATGCAACCAGGACAGACCATGATCTGCCGGTGCAATCATAACATGGTCTTCATTGTTCGTTATTCAATCGGTGCATATTTTCAACAACAACAAAAACAACACTAAAATGATGTGAATCGAAAGAAAGCGAACTTCTTTTTTAAGATTTTTAGAGCGGTAATAGTTAAACGCAATCATTAAGATGCCTCAGATGTGAAACTTTTTTTGGTAGATAAAAATTTCCAAAAAAACAACAATTGAAATTGAAATGAATCACGCGCAACGAAAAATAATAAAAATTTGGCAGTTTTATTGATTACACACTTAATAAACACGAATAATGCATCAGAAAATGTCACATACTTTATATTTACAACCATCTTTGAATATTGGTGTTTTCCTTTCTCTTTTTTACTCTTTATTTACTTTTTTTCCTTTTTTTTTTTTTGATTAAGATATAAAATGTTTTCTGTCCTTAACATAATTGAATACCTTTCCAAGTTTCATGGTTCTCTTATATTATAAGGCAAAACGTTTTCAACTTTAGTAAAATTTATAGGTTTCTTTTATAAATTCGCAATAAAAAATTATATCATAAATGCTTGACTGAACACGCGTTTACGTTTTTATGACCAAAATTTAATTTCGGGTATAAAATTAATGCTAAAAAATGGCTAATATTACCAGTTCACTGACCGAGCTTCAGTTTGATAGTTACTTTAAAGCAGCACGCCTCATTCATGTTAATTTTCATGAAAATTTTGGAATTGTATTTTCATAGCAAAATATTGTGAGTTGAACAAATAAAGTAAATAACATATTGCAATCGGCACATGCATTCTTAAAGAATTACCAAAAAAATCATCAACATATGCAAAACAGCCCTTACTGCGTTAGTAACGCAGTTGAAATATGGTAATAAAATACTGCAAAATCAGTCTTAAACCGCACTTAACATGTAAAATATAATTTGGGTCTTGAATGGTTTTACCTTTCTTAAAATGTTAGTTCATTTTGCCCAATATTGATTGTCTTGAAATATTTTGGCTCATCTGGAAGCGTGCAGCTTTAAAGCGGTTGCGTATTTTACACTAAAAATAATGAATGGTTTCGACTAGATTGAAATGTGGGCAAGTCCATTTCAGATATTTTGCATGGTAAAGAGTGCGTACAAAACAGTGACAACGATGACAGTTACGAGTATTCAAGCGTCTTTTTACTTAAATGAAATAAATACTATTGAGTGTTGACATTTAATGTATCGTGTTTCAGTTTACGAACTTTAAATAGGTATATTAATCTTTGGTTTCGAATTAAATGTAAAAAACCCAACAATAACAACAAATTACCGGTGAATTTAGCATCTAAACAGTTGATAACAGTGTTAAAAATATAAGTTTTAGAAATTATCTCAACAATTAGTTTGTAAAAGCATAGTATTGCATGAACTTCGCATTTGCATAGTGTTGTATTACAGTTTCTTTTTGCAGTTGTAAGTGTTTTTGAAAATTAATAATTATGAACTTCGCATACATGCAATATGCAAACTATATATAAAGTTAGCATTAAATTTTCTGCCGCTATCTTTCTTTTTTACAAAGTATTAAATCATCGAGTGTATATTGTAATTGAAAATTTATATTTTTACCTATATCGCTTTATGGTTCACTATCTATTTTTGCTTTTATACAGGCTAACGATAAGTTCAATAAACGATCAGATACTATCATCATTTAGTTCAATGATAACTTTTGTTCACTCAGGGGTGACATGTCATTGACTTTTTCACTCCTTTACGTTAGTAAAATAATGTAAAAAACTTCTTATTATCGTGGTTACTGCCCTTTTAATTTTCCAATATTATTTAATGGAAACTTTTGAAAACAAATGCGCATAAACGTTTTGGTTACTTCTTTTTTCCCGCTGTCTGTTAATATGGAGTTTTTGGGATTTATGTTCTTATCTAAACCTGGTAAACTTGCGCGATTAGATTAGTCCCGCAGTCAATTTAAATGTTAAGGGATTTAAATAAAACAAAAACAATAACAACAAAACTAACAACAACAACAACAACAAATGAGCAACTAACGGATGTGATCAGGCTGGTCTGGCTCGATATTGATGTCAAATGCTTTCAATGGGTTATAAGCAATGATGAAACAAAATTGAATGTATTTGCAAATCATTTCACAAACTATACATTGTGCATATGATGTAATTTTTAAACAGTACAAAACTTTACACACTATAAGCTTTTATTCAACTCTAAAAAATCATAGTTTTAAACTTTACGCTTTATGCAACTAAAAAATCATAGTTGCAAACTAGTCTATGCATATTAAAAACATGTTTAAATGCAAAAGCTATAAATGTTAAAGTAATAAGAGAAAAAAATATATAAACCTGATATGTACTGGTTTCTTCCTATATCTTCTAAAGCATGTTCCCTGGTAGATACTCTGCAAGTTCCATTTTGGCAGTATTCGGCTAACCAAACTCCTTCATGAAACGTCCACTGCCGATTGTCGTCTGCTTTCACTAGCCAAGCTGGTCCAAATATCCCTACGAGATTAAAACAGAATCCAAAAATGTCAAACACGAGGGCGACGCCTGCAAAACGCTTTGTAGAGTTTGCATGTTTCGCCATAATTTAACTTTCTACATACTTATATCTTACTTATGAAATGAAAACATATTCTTTACTCATAAAGCGTTCAGGGTAACATTTAAGCACATTCCCTGGGTGGAAAATCACTTTGAAAATACAGCGTATCTCAAGCGAGACTGTATTTTAATTTTAAATACAGTTTCTTTTCACGCTAAGTTATTTATACCTCAAGACGAATAATATCTTCGGTTTGTGACTTTTATACACATAATACAAGGTGTATGTAATTATGTTACATAGCCTTTTTTATTAAACTTAAAAACGTGCATTGGTTATATGAAACTTGTGTCAGTCTTTGTAAAGAACGGTGCAGATATGTTTACAGTTTGCTACATGTTTCACAAATAATTTCACCTACATACATCACCCTTTTCTACAGATAATAAGCATCTTACATATCTTAAACCATTATTTAAACATTATAAAACTCTACGGTGACACAAAGGTGACATGTGTGTGTGTGTTTTTATTTAGATTCCATGTCGTGGCTTTGAGTTACTAAGTAGTGGCCACGAGGTCATTAAGTGGTGCGCACGTGGCCACGAGTTACTTACTCCTAGCCACGGTGCGCAATAAATACTGTGGCCACGAATTACTAAGTCGCGGGAACGAGACAACTAAGTCGTGCGCACAAGATAATTAACCAATCAGATTAGGCTCTTTACATGAATTTTCCTAGTTAATTAGGTACGTGATATAAGACAAGGATGACCCTACTTCACCTGCCTGTCAAAGGGCCATCGATACAGGTTATTGATCGGACAATAATTTTACATTTAGCGTCATTGTGACCCTGATTTTTGACCTCAAAATTATTAGGTGTCATCTACTGATCAGGTGCAACGATCTTTCTAGGTTATATAAACCATGGCTTATTCCTTCTAAATTATTCATCAGACAAGGATTGTCATGGTTACCTTGACCCTTGACCTCAAACATCCTTATAGGCTATCTACTGACCATGGGCAATGTCCCTACCGAATAAGATAAGCCAGGACTTATTCCTTCTCATGTTATCGTATAAACAAGATTAACAGGCCGTTGAAAGTACATACTGATCAATTCTATCACAGAATTGTTCCAAACAAAGGGCCATAACTTAGTCAAAATTAATGTCTGAATTTATGGGCCTAAGAACGTGACTTTCTATTATGATCCTAAGGACTTGTATCAAAATTTAAGTGAATATCTTTAATATTTTCAAGATTAATGTAATTATTATGTTGCATGTAAAAACTTCTTGTATATATACGACTTGAGTATCTCGTGGTCACGTAGCAAAGACATAGTATCTCGTGCGCACGAGGTAAATAAAAACCACAAATGTCACCTTTGTGCTTGCCGTATTTTTTTCTGGGGTACCAGTGTAACGTTGAGCTGAATTGACTAGATATTTCAAATTTAATGTAGATTGATATTGGAAAATGGTTAGGATAAAATATAAATCTGCCTAAAATAGAAGAAGACTAGCCCAATCTTTTAATAAATTGAACTTTACAAGTAAATTCGATGGATATTACCATACTTTTTCTTCGGCTGCGGGAGTTATTATTCATGCGAAGCAAATTGAAAAGAATTATGGCACAATGTAAACTTATTTCGACTTTCTCCTGTTCACTCACTATATTCCCTAGAAACTTAATGTCGCTTTTATATTACTGTAATAGATTAGATAATTTCCCCTACATTTATCAAAATGTAATCTGTATACATGTTGAAAAAATTATTTCTAAAGCTGCATGCCTCCAGACAAACCAAAATATTTCTTGAGAAAAAGCACTTACATTTTAAATAAGTAAAAAGATTCAAGATAAAAGTAATACTTTCCGTGTTATGTTTGATTTATGACCGATTTTGCTGTATTTTTCACTATAAATTTACTGCGTTACTAACGCAGTTAGGGCTATTTTTACATAAAATTATTTTGACCTCTTTTTAGTAATTTATATGGATTGTAAGTGTTGTTTTCAATGTGAAAATTACTTTCTTTGTTCACTTTAAACTATTTTATTTTTTTTTCAATACATTTTCAAAAGTGTCATGAAAATTAGCATGAATCTAAAGACGTATAATTAACAAGTCAAACACAGTCAAAATATTTATAAGCATAAACATATAAATTGATTTTCGTCACACATAATTAATTTGATATGTTACAGACGAACGACAAGATAATAGATTCTTTCGATGAAAGAAAATTATAAAAAAATCACAAACCCATGCGCACAGGCCTTGAAATGGATATTAGGCTATTGAAATTTACACAGAAGAAAACACATTTAATTTCATAGTTCATGCATAAATTATGCATAAATCATTAAATAATACAAATATACAATAAAATATGAAAAGTGTAAGTTCAATACTGAATTTATTACACGGGTTATATAAAAAATATATTATAACGGTCTTTACGCTATGTTTGTATAGCGCAAAAGGTAAAGGTCTTGTTTATTATAGTGTCACCCCTACTGAAAGGGCCAGCCATTTTTGACTTATGAGACACCTTTTGCTTGCATACCATGTACCTCCCAACTTCTACCACTATGCCAGGCGCCATGCACAGCCGTTCAATACCATTTTCAAGGAGTCGCAAATTCGGCACTTATGTCAATATGTCCAAATACGTGGTTAACACTGTTACAATAATCAATTCTCTGTAAGGTATACCTATACATATTACTAATGACCATAATGATAGCTTTGTTTCTACTTTGCGCATCTAGTTTTGATTAAAGAGGCGACATCCATATTTCAAACGTTAATCTGATCAAAAGCATTCCCAAATAGTTACATTTCCTACAAGCCTAATATATAACTATTTTTACATTAGGCAATCTGTTTTTGATTTTCGCATTATGTCAAATATCGTAAAGTGTATTGAACTTTAACCTTATCTGAACTTAATATAGCCTTCAAGGAAGGATAATTTTTAAGTAATGGACAGAATATTTATGACTGCTGCTGGGCCCACTGTTTTATTCATCACAAGTACGTGTATAATGTATGTATGTGACTGATCAAGAAGAAATTATATACGTACCTTAAGACATTTCATTTAATATATATCATGTATTTGAATAATTATATATCATTTCTATAGATCGGCGCACGAATATAATTGAGCCGCGTCATGACAAAACCAACATAGTGGGTTTGCGACCAGCATGGATCCAGACCAGCCTGCGCATCTGCGCAGTCTGATCAGGATCCATGCTGTTCGCTTACAAACTCTATAACAAGTAGAGAAACTGACAGCGAACAGCATGGATCCTGATCAGACTGCGCGGATGCGCAGGCTGGTCTGGATCCATGCTGGTCGCAAACCTATTATGTTGGTTTTGTCATGACGCGGCTCAATCTACTTTACTTTTGTAATTGATTTCAGGCTAGCCTTAGTATATGTGTGTATACTTCTTATGTAAATCAGTGTAACTTTTCATTGATTAACGCCATTAATGTGTACATTTTACAAGATAAGCGCCACATGAAAAGAGAATGAAAATGTACCCGTTTGGTAAAGACACAACCGTTTCAAATTTTTGGAGTCTAGGCATCTCTCACCCATAGCATGTGAAATTGTTTTGACCCCTGGTTTTGCTTCAAGTTTGTAACATCTGAGGTAAGCCAAAATCATACTTCCTGTTTCGACGTCATATGACCTTAATTGTGTTGGTGCGCCGTAGAACAAAACAAACACACTTTCTTACAGACATAAAGCGACATAAAACATTGTAATGTATTACTTATCCAATTATGAGGACATTCATTCTCTTGAATTTATGTCATGTTTCAATTACAAGCAATCAGGAAGCTATGGAATTACTGTTTCTTGTTTTCTCGAGTAACGTCCTTTAGTATAAATTCCGTTATCATTAATAATAAATCATGTTAAAATAAAATTGGAACTTTGCCAAACTAGCTCATTACATCAATAGGCATGCCGCTTGCCTTATCAAATTCCATATGTATAACAACAAACATTCAAAACGATTTAAATAGTGTTTAGGTTACTATGAAAGTATCTTACACAGAATAAATACAAATAGTAGTAGCAAACCAAATATTTCCGTTTTACAAATGACTAAATCTTATAATGAATCTATATTGAGTAAAGTCTTTATCTTTTTTTCTTCTTCGTTATGTACTTGAAGAGACAAACCTAGATACTCCTGCAGACAAGAGGTTATAGTAGATTTAAATCAATTACCATATTTTGTCGCGATAAAATACCAGATACTTCAAACTCCTCACAGTGATTACCTCCCTTGGCAGATTTTACTCATCAAAGGGGTCACTGCGTAGAAGAGATTGTAGAGAATTACAATACAGAATATAAATAAAGCTCTGTCATAAACTGTTTTCTTATTTGGTTAAAACTTACTTTATTCAACAATGCTTACAATTTACATACTAGGTAAATGAAACAACGTACATTACCATAAGTTTAAGGTTTCTGCTGGAAGCTTTCATCTTACAATATCAGCGTCTATCAGTTGTGGATATTTATTGATTTATTAATTAACAATAAGATAAGTGTACATTTTAAATGAGATCTCAATGGGAAACTCATCTATCGATTCACTGATCTGTAAGACCCCTACCAGCTTGACCGGCAGGCGACGTAATGTCAATTTAGGCATAAAGGCCCAGATTTTTGTCGTTGAACTAGATCTAGATAGTCCTGTATCACTATTATCATCCAGGAATTTTAAAAAAAAGAAAGAAAAAAAAAAGAAAGAAAAATAAAGTCTCTATGTATGCATTGTATATGTTTTGCGTTATAGATTACGGTAAGAAGTGTAGATGTAGCTGAAAATAAGGTATCTTTTTTTAAAGAAGATCGTTAAATGACGTCACACGGATGAAGGTCTGCGTGACTGTGTGATTGCCTACTACGGTCAAATTCAGCAGCTATGATAAGACTTGCAAATACATGTATGTAGTCTTACCAGTGTCATATTTGCGTGCTGCTCAAGTTTAATCTATTTTTTCTTCTTGCAGCCTGAGTTGCAGCCCATCACATTACCTTTTCTTTTTCGAGTAGAATAAGTCGAATATAGAAACTAAATGTGTATTGTCCATATTATCCTGTAATGATAATTTGGTCTTGGTACCATCGTATAGAAGCTCACTTGGTAAATCAACGTCACAGTAAATTTAATGATTTGCACTTTTGTTTGAATCCTTCGCTCTGCCATGTTACTATA